GCCGCAATGGAACAATTTGCGATGGAGTCCAAGGCCTGTGTATAATGCTGAAGAAGTTTGCCTACCCGTGCCGGTATTTCGACATGATTCCTATTTTAGGACGATAAGAACTTAGCATGATTAGCAATGAGGTTGTAGACTGGATGTACTCATGGACACGAAATAACACAGTGGAATCACGACCTTTTAAATCCAGCTGCACTGAATCAGTATGCTGATGCCATTAGTAATAAAGGAGCAGCATTGGAAAATTGTTTTGGTTTCATATATGGAACTGTGCGCCCCGTTTCTAGACCGGATGCAAACCAGAGAATTGTATACAATGGACATAAACGGGTTCATGCGCTTAAATTTAAGTCTGTTGCAATTAATCCCAAATGGATTAATTGGCTATCTATATGGTCCTGTTGGTAGATACATGCTTTAACGGGACACCCAATTCAAGTTCTTAGGTACTATGTTCTAATTTTTAACTTTTTTCTTTTTTTTTTTTCACAGAAGGAAGGATGCGCGATGCACGAATGTTGGCAGTTTCTGATCTGTATGATGATTTGGAAAATTTTGCTTTCTGTCCAGCTGGAAGAGAAATGTGTTTATATGGTTACCCAGCCTACCCACTTAGGGTCCACCTCCAAGCCCCTTTCCGAATTGGTGTTTTAACCAGGCAAATGGAAATGTTTAAGGAAAAAATGAGTGCAGTACGTGAATCTGTAGAGTGGTTATTCGCAGACATCATCAACTATTTCAAATTTCTAGATTTTAAAAAGAATTGAAGGATAGGTTTTAGTCAAGTTGGTAAGATGTATTAGTCTGCAATTCTACGAAACGCTTCGGTTTATCATTGCTTTCATCTGCTGATGAGTCTCTTTTCTTCGTATCTGACAGCTTCTCCATCGCATTAAGTCTCACATCTTCTGCCTTAGCCCGGTCGTATTGAAGTTTTTTACTAATTGTTCCCTGTGTTTCCTGTTATTCCGCTTCGCCACTTTCCTCCAACGCGATGATCGTATCCAATAGGTTTTCTAATTCCGTTGGCTCATCGGGAGTTATACCAGTTGCTTTTTCCTCGGCTTGAAGTTTCTTCTTATGCTTGTAAACAAGAATTTCCACGTGGTCTCTAACTGATCGCTTATCAACTCTGAATTTCGGCACAGAGCATTTGTTCAAGGTGTCTGCTATTTTTTCCCACATGCTGCTTCTTTGTGTGGACCCTTTCTTAGTTGTGTAGGGATTTACATTGACGACTTCTCTGCATAGGATGGCTTCATGGTCATATGTCCAAAACATTACTGAACTAAAGGAAGGTATAAAAACACACAAAGTTTCATAAAATTAAAATAAATAATTCAAGCTTAAACGTGCTAGTTTAGCGGCAGATGAACGCAATAAATCGAGAAATGCAATGGTACAAGAGACGAGGAAAGTATGCAGAAGACTCCTACATTCACTATTTGTAGTTGTGGCTCGTGACTTACTTGGAAGCCTTGCTCGAAGGTGCTGCCATTTTATAAGCTTCGTACACCTGAAAGAAATTTAAAAAAAATCAAAATCCTTCCATCTCTGCGATCTAAAAAAATTAGAAATTACGTGCAATGATCCTAGATTGCTAATTTTTCATGTTTAGAGGAATACATCATCATTTAATTTAAGCACTGGAACGAATATACTCACGTTTTGTACAGAACGTCAAAATTGCCAAACCCACGTTCTCGACGCGACGTGATGCCATCAGGACGACAGCGGGAGCATGCGCAATATGTCACCTCTTTGAAAATTTACTTTCGACCGCGTCTTAAAGCTGTCGCGTCTCGGATCTTAAGGTCCCTAATCTCCTGGCGTGGCGCGAGTTGTTTGCGAACCTTTATGAGCTAAAAAAAAAATCTCGTATTTGATTTTGGGAGGAATACAACCACTTCGAGCGAATTTATAGGTTATATAGATCTGACCGTTTTTAATCAAATTTTGAGATAGAGATAGATAGATAGATAGATAGATAGATAGACTGTTTATTCACAAATACATCGCAGTCATTAGACTGAATTGCGTATTTCACAGAGAAATATATAAATAGGCAAATGTTAAAACTAATCACAAACATATGTACATGATATAAAAATATAAGTATCTAATGGGATTAAAATATGTATAGTTACTAGCTAAGTACTACGCGTTGTTTATTGCTAGGCATCTTTGGACATTGCATACACAAAGGACTGTCTAAAGCGGTCTGTGCGCGAGCGTGGTACATTATATGTTCTCTGATGTCGCAGGCAGTAGCTTTGTTCATTTCTTGGAGGCAGTAAGTTGTGTAGTTTATGCCCCGAGTTGTTGGCGATTGAATCAAAGAGTCGTTTACATAGATCATTGCGTCTCTCTTTTAGCGTTGGCAGGCCTAGTCTGTCCAAGCAGTCCTGATATGACATATCTGGGAGAATTATGGAAAGAACTCTTTTCTGTATTCTCTCTATATCCTCACTGAGGTAAGCGGGAAGCGCGTGATGGAAGAGGGGAGCGCAATATTCTAGAACAGATCTGATTGTTGTACAGTAGAAATCAACAATGTCATTACAAGGTACACGAGCCCTTTTGCCAAAATATCCTGGGAATAATGACAAACGAAATGTCGGGAAATTTTGATATTCGAAATATTTGTCCCGTGGCGCCCATTTGCGCAGCACGACTCGCATATTATTAGCTTCTTCAACTTCAGATGCAGATATCTACACAGCCAATCAGAAACTTTTTTTGATTGATGCCTTGTGAATGAGAGTGTGCGGCCATTTTTCTCGTGCTGCAGCATCCGATACCCGATAAATTCAATAAAAGAAACTTCGGTCGTTTCACGCCTTACCGGCTCCCAACACTTCCTTAAAAAAAAAGTCGCTTAAATTGCATTTTTATCGTAATCTGCTTCTATTATTAAGCTTTCTTCTGATATGTAGTTTGCTGGGATGTTTGTAAAACTAGCGCGCGTACGGTTTTTTTCCCCGAAGGACACGGGCACTCGCGAAGGTGGGAAGTAACCTTAACAGTGACGAATGGGGAAAAAAAACTGTCAGACTGAATCGAAAATATCAGCTGCCGATAAGAAGGGGGGAAGAAAATTAAATCCTATAATGAAAAAGAATTATCTTTCGCGAATGCTATGGAATACGTCTAAGGAAATTGTTTTATTATTCTTATTTTTTAATGAAAACGCGATAGGTAGGTCAGTTAAAAAGAAAGAAGCCGAAAGATTCAGTTATGCATATGCTGCTTAAATATGGATTTTTATTACTTTATTCATTAGAAGAAGTTTTGCATTTAAATTCGCTATAATAATATGCTTACACTTAATTTTTTTTTAACATGCAAATAATTCTTAGATCATCCATACCAAAAGCAAGTAGGAAAAGTGAATAAATTGTAGTCCAGCCCCTAAATATAAGATCTACACGATCAGGAGCCCATCACGTGATGGGCTCTTGACACGATAAACTTATGATCTCGTAATAGGAAACCATCAGACGGAGAAAACAGATATATTGCAATATGAACAAATGTATGTGGCACTTAGATCTTAATTAAACACTCCACAGTGTTCTCTACGTGCATACCCAATGATTATCCCGTCTATTTTCTAAGTAAGGATTTAAATACATACATGCATGTATGCATGCCTATATAAAGTTGCCGTAACAAATCCTCTGTGCGTCTCTATGTGGTCAAATGCCAGTCCCCAATTCAACTTACAATACGTTTCATTTTCGTAGGGGATTAGTTTGTAACTGTAAAAATACGGTGCGTGGACGGATATATATATATA